GGCGCCGGCCCGGCCGCCGCTCGGCCCAGCGGCGCGGCCTATGGGCGGCGGGGCCCGCCCGCACCGCCCGCCCGGCCTTGAGCCGCCTGAGCCGCCGTGATTCAGCGTTTCTCCAGCAATACCATGTGGATCCCCCCGCCTCCCCCTGGGCTCCATTTTCAGGAGCCGCTCAGCCTCCGGAGCGGCGCCCGTGGACTTCCTTCCCAGCCCTCCTCGTCTTCTGCATTTGCCCGTCCTCCGGAGCCTGCAGAGCCTTCCCGGAGCCGCCCTGCGAGGCTCTGCTGTGTGTTCCAGACGGCCCGCAGCAGGCTCCAGGCAGAAAGCGGCAGCAGCAGCGAGGAAGGAGGGGATGAGCCGCGCCCGCCGCGGGCTCTCCCTTTGTCCGCAGGGAGCATCCCGGGGATGCCTCCCCAGCGTGCCGGGCACCTGCGCCTCGGGAGCCGCCGGTCCTTCCTAAGGATTGTACAGCGTTGCCAGCAATCACTGCCATTCTTACACAAACAGATCGCTCGTCCATCATCTGTGAGCATCGTCTAAACGTAGCAAACCTAATACAAACGGGCTTAAGTTACACGCAGGCACGCAGTTACAGCAGGGTTATCATCACTGCTTCCTGCAAACCTGAGGCAACTAATTGGCAGGCACTGCATTGCGTAGCTATAATTTCCCAGAGAAGCGTGTCTGTGGTCAGGGAATATGTGACTGGGCTTGAAAAAGCTAGAACCAAATTCAGTCCTTTAATATAAATATTTATGTTATTAGGCCCGGCCCATATCCATAGAATAATACAGAAACCTGATACTAAACACACAGCGGTAGAGCAGGAGGGTGTCAGGAACTGAAATGTTTCTGTTTATTTAGAAAGCAGTAAGATTTTAATCGAAAAAATCACTGAAATTTTCATAGCATCCCCTTGTTTTGATATGTTGATATGTCAGTAGATACAAATGACACTGTGATCCTTTGCATTCCGGGATCCCATTTCTTAGGATGGTTTGGTTTTAAAGAACTTGGGTAACAAAAATATTGCTCGGCGATTCACTTGGGTTCTTTTGTCAAATTAATTACAGAGTATTCTTCCTTCCTGGGGGAAAACTCAAATTATAAAATGCCCCAGCTGCTGCTTTCAAACGTAGTAATTATATACTAACCTAGGCTATATTGAAACCTGCATAATATAGGATATTTAAAGTGATCCTGTAATTTATACCATTCATACCATTTAATGGTTATCATTCATTTACATGATTTTAATAATGAAAATTTCAGGCAATTGTTTGGCTGGGCTAATGACACGAGGGGGAAATTCCTTGTCAGCATGTATCCTCTTCAGCTCCAAGGAAATGTCCAGATATGAGTTTTCTCCCACAAAATGTGTAGATATTTTTGAAGCCATTTCCTATTCTTGTGTACGTACAGAACACTCAAGCAAAGTCTTTGTATAAAATATGAATGCAGTCGTTGTTCCCCGCCCATTTCTGGACACGTGTTTTCCAAGAAGCTGCTTCTGCATTTGCTGCTATGCAATGCAGCTTTCCCTGATGGCAGTCAGCCCAGCTACAGCTTTCCCTGAAGTGAAAGCAGCAGGGATGTGGAAGGATTTCTGAATTTTCCCGTGCGCTGCCCTCCAAGTTACAGAGATGGCTGCAGAAAGGCATTGCATAACTGTTCTCTTACTCTATTTTAAGCACTTTCCTGCATTTATTTTATTTAATAGGCATTTGTGTCAGACCATAGCATATAGATGCAATTAAATTTTTAAAAAACAAGGAAACTGGAGCAAATTTTTGCACTCCAGCTGGAAGATTGCTGCATTTTTCCATATGTACCAAGCTATATAGCAAAGACAACAGACACTTGGGTCAGGAGAGACCAGAAATCCAGAGATACTTAGTAGCATAATGAATCATTGGCGTCCACATTTGATTTTGGCATTGCAGAAACCGTATAAACACATTTTTCTACAACTACCTGCAACCTTTATTTTCCATAAAATACATGAATATGTGTAGATACTCTAATCCATTTTCCTTCTCAATTCACTGCCTCTTTTCATCACTTATCAAATACCTGGTTGCTAGAAGCTTGCAGGTTATTCAGAGTAGTAGCTGTACTATCCTTTTTCTTGAGCTCCGAAACATCAACTCCAACAATCCCACTGCACACACACACACACAGTCACTCAAATGAGACACAAATGGGGGGAGGGGTGTTACTAAGGCTCTCCAGATTCTGATAAAAACCAGAAGTTCTAAGACAGACTGATTTGTTGGGGTTTTTTTGAAAGAAGGAAAAAGAAGAAGAGGGAAAGGAGGGAAAAGAAGGAGAAGAGGGAAAGACAAAAGACAGCCTTGTCCTGGAGAGTCACTGCCTGCCAGGAATTTACTCCATGCGACTGGAACTCATGCTGCCAGGAGCTGTCCCCAAAAGAGCAGTTCCCCAGTGGCTGCCCCAGCTTCCCCCCAAACAGCCCAGGGTCACTGGAGCCAGCTGGACAGAGCCACAGCCTGGCCAAACCCAGAGGATAAGTGCAGTGTACCACCAGATCCAGAGGTTCCCTCTGCCTTGCATATGTGGGAAGGTGGGGATATAGACTGTTCGTATCACAGAAGATAAAGTTTTATAAGCCAGAACCTACAATTCTCAATTACAAACTGGCAGTCAGAGGCTACATAAATTTATAAATAAAAACATGGAATACCATTAATTCTTGTCTGTAGTTGCAGAGATTGAACACGATGGCAGCAGCAGCAGTTCTGAGGTGATAATGAGGTTTGATATAAGTGATTTCTGGCTTGTTAGGACAGAGGGACAACCTGTGCATCCTCCACTAAAAACTTCACAAAATTAGGTGACCTGACACTGTCATATATCAGGAGCAATGAGAAGCCACTTGAGGCAGCCTTATATGCATTTCTATTTGCTTATTCCTACAAAACAGGGCAGGGGGGACACCTCAAATTAAAAATTAAACATGGTTTTTAACAAGATGCTCTCATGTTTAAAAATGGAATGGATTCAAGAATGGAGAGAGGTTCTGTGATATTTATGGGTAAAGATGAGACAATTCTTATATAGATAAAGATTTTTTTTGTTACTACAATGAAAATCTTAGTCTACAATAAATAAGTAGCATATTACATAGTAATAAATAGTCTAATGCAAGAATTATCATTAGTCCGGATCTAATTATTAAAAAAAAAGAGGCAATAATAATGCAGTTAAAGTACTTATTTACAGAACAAAGTCACAATAATAGTAATATTATGGTTAAAATGGTTACAGACACAAATGCGTTCATGGACACTTCTTAGTTTCTAGTCCTTCCCCTAAAGTTTGCTCCTCTGGGCATTTAGATCAGTAGTTTGAGGCTGCTGGAGGGAATACCACCAACAGTTATCAGGCAGTGCCATCTTGGCCATGATGTTGATGGTGTTGCGGTTTCTTCTTCCTCTCACCACTTTGAGTTCTTTTTCTATTTTTGCTAACACACTTTTGCCCTTTCCTTTTTCTTCGCTGGTCTGCAGCTTTAGGTAACATCTGAATTTACTATATATAGTGCCATTTATGTATGTTAGATACTGTTTCTTGGATCTTTTTATTACTCCTAAGATCAATTTTACGAAGCCAGTCTGCATTTTTTATTTTTTTAAACTAAGCATCAATGAGTTGTTCATATCCATAGATACTCCAGCCCCCAAGCTGCGCCCTTCTCTTTGTTACCATGTGTGTAGCCCTGTAACACAGTATTGCTGTTGCTCCCAACAGGCCATAAGCTTTGCACTGAGTTTGCATGGCCTTGGGACTGAGGCTTGCCAGGTCTGCTCAGTTTGACCTTGTCCTCACCCACCTGTGACTTTGTTTTGCTTGGCACAACTGTGACAGCAGTTTCTTGAACTGAACTTGATTTACGAAAGGTTAACTCTGGGTTTATGTAGGGAGCAGCGACAAACAGTTCCTGCAGGTGGGATATTTAGTACTCTTAGATAATGACACTGTGCAGAGAAACACAGGCCTGGTACAACAGCAGAGACCTTGTGATGTGGAGGCACAGGATGAAGGAGAACAGGCAGGGGCTGTGCTCACGTGCATGACCCAACACCAATAAAATAGGAGCCTAAAGCATGATGTAGATGTGCAAAGGTGCAGAGGTAAGAGGAGGAGATGACCCTTCCCTACCCTGTTCATGATAACCAGGACAGCCCACACTAGACTGAAATATTCCCCCTATCATAGATACCCCTGCCTTTGAACAGAGTAAATGCTGGAAGCACTAGGAGCTGTTGCCACATTCTCCACAACACAGAGTAATATATGGCACAGAGCCAGGCTGAAAAAGAGCAGCTTATTCATGCAGCAGTTTCGATTCTCCAACTGCAGACTGTTCTGCTTCTTCGGCAGACTCAGAGAAAAGCTGAAGTTTCACTTTCTGTTTCCCGTGAAAGTGGTCACAGACCACATGATGGTTGGATTCTATAAAATGGGAAGCATAACAACAGTGAGCAGCACTCCTTCAGCTTTGAAGCTACCTGAAGACAAGTGAGCAGAGAAGGAAAACCATGAGGTAAGATAGCAACCCAGTCCCTGAAAGATGCTTTTTCTCTATGCCACAGGAAAGTAATGCTTATTATTTACATAAATGTAATCAGTGAGGGACTTTGAGCATTGAAACAACAGAAAATATTTTACAGAATATTTACGAGAAGAATCAAAATAAAATAAGGATGCTTTTGAATATTGTCATGTTATTGCTTCTCCAACAAGGTTCAGTTTCTGTAAACAGAACAGAAAGACAGAAAGATTGTGTGCATGCAGTTTGGGGATGGAATCCAGGCTGGTGCCCAGCCAGAGGGGTCTAATCTGTATCCCAAACTTGGGTTTGTGACATTCATGAATATTCATTTTCCATAAATCTCTTTTCATTAATTAGTCTCCACTGTTGTTTTCAGCCATAGACACTGTCACGATTCTCAAGTGAGGCAATAAAAAATGACACATATTTCAGTTTGAATTGAATAGGACTATTTAAAGGCTTCAAGCTATTCCTGCTGATTTGGGAGCCAAGACCTGTTCTGTGATATTCACTTGGAGCCAAAGCTTTCTAACAAGATATGATAATAACAGGAATTTATTCTCACTTCCCCTTCATCCCAGAAGAACTGTAATTACCTCACATACAGCTTTCTAATTAGGAACTGTTGTTAATACCAATCAAAACATCAGTTAGGTAGAGGAGATTATCTGAGAAAGGCAAAGAAGTTTGTAAGACAAACTTATGCTTTAACAGCCGTTGTAAGTACCTTTACTGACCTTCTTCCAGTACCTGTGTGTCAGATGGTTTGGGTGGAAACATGTCCTTCCTTCCCATTGTCCCAGAACCTAAAAGAATTGCTTCCCAATTCCTCCTTGGTTTGCCTCCTCATAATTTTGCAATCTTTCCACTCACTCCTTTTTTTACCCAAAAGACATGATTGTGCAGTTGAGCAGCAGCACACACTGTGCCACACAGGCTGTTAGAGACACTAGGTTTTACAGGAGGGACAGCAGAGAAGTCTTTTGAAGAAAGAAGGACTTGACGGAGAAGCCTCAGTAATAATAGGATTCCTTCTCCCTTACTAAAATGTCATCTTCTCTGTGTTGTAAAGGTGTGTCCTTGATAGATTGTGGGATACAAGCCAGTCTGTGCAGCCACACAGAGGCATATGCAGGTAATGGCAGGAGGGGAAATCCAAGTAACACCCTGCCCTGGGTGCTCCCAGGCCTGACAAAGAGCCATCAGCCCACCCCCAGGAGTGGCACAGAGGCCCAAGGGCAGGTGAGAGCTCCCCAGTGCCTCAGTCAGGGACATAAGCCACCACCCAGCCCTTCTAGGGCTACCCCAGGGGACGATCAGCACCACGGGCTGGGGGGACACCCAGCATCACCAGGGGTCTACAGGAGTGCCTTACACTTTAAATTGCTTCGGGATATGGGACACATTATGGGATGTGAGGAAAAGCATTAGGGCATTGCATGAGACTTATTATGGGATGTTTGGGGAGGGGACCAAAGGCAGGGAATTAAGGGATCTGGGTGATTTGGGAAGAAAAAACTGTTGAAAAAGAGAGAGGGAATGTCCTGGTTTCATCTGGGATAAGAATTTTTTCTCAGTAGCTGGTACAATGCTGTGTTTTGGATTCAGTATGAGAATAATGTGGATAACACATTCATGTTTTGTTTGTTGCCAAGTCATGTTTATCCTAGTCAAGGACTTTTTTGTGTCTCATGTCCTGCCAGTGAGGAGGAGCACACAAAAAGCTGGGAGGGAGCACAGGTGGGACAGGTGACTAAAACCGGCCAAAGGGATATTCTACACCATAGAATGTCATGCTCAATATATAAACTGGGAGAGTTACCTGGAAGAGGAGCTGATTGGGGTGTGGGGACGGGGTCTGGCATCAGGCAGCAGGTGATGAACAATTGTATTGTACATCACTCGTTTTTCCTTGAGATTTAGCTTTCCCTTTTATTATCATTTTTTACTATTATTATTAGATTTTACTTTGTTTCAATTATTAAACTGTTCTTATCTTACCCTACAAGTTTCACTTTTGATTCTCCCCCCCATTCCACCAGGGTGGGGGGTGGGGGGTGGGGATGAGTGAGCAGCAGCAAAGTGCCTAGGTCCCAGCTGGGCTTAAACCTCAACAGGGACAAAGAGGTATTAAGGACCAGTTGTAGGTAAACAGGGTCTGGTCAATAAGTGTGTGTGTGTTTATTTACGGGTGAAGCACCCGGAGAGAGAGAGGCTCCCTGACCAGACACTGGATGTCCAAAGTCAGCTTCTGAGGAGCCACAGGGTTAGTGAGTGAGCATGTGGTCTGTACCAGCAAGTGGAGTGGGCCTGTACACCCAAATGCTGGCAAACAGGGAGACTGCTGTAATCTGGGATCCAGCTCCTGGGTATGACAGTATAACCATAAGATAAGAATGGTGCTATGATCTGACAAATGAGGATTTACAAATGCGGGAAATTCAAAATTAAATTTATAACATAAACCATAAAATGTATAGAGACATAGGAAAGGCACTAAATCACTTTCTCTGTATGTTAAGGGAATCTCATGTGATTACCTCCTTTGGGTAGGCTTCAGCAATTGTTCCCAGCACAGGATATATGTTTCTGAGGCCCAGAGGTGTGCCAGCTTTACCACAGAGACCAGCCCTCCTCTTTAACATCCAGAACACCAGCTCTGTTGCAATGTAAGAGATGTCCCCATATACAGGCAAGGACAATTACTAAAATAACTATTCAGCACTTTAGACCTATGGCTCCCCACAGCTCTGCCTTGTTTGAAGTGTTGTGGACTGGGGGCATGAGGTGAGGTATTGTCTGCCTTTAAAGTATATCATGCCAGGTTTAAAAACAAGAATAGCAAAAAGCAAATAGAGTATAAATATGTTTTTCTTTGGTTTCTTCTAGTACCATTTCCAAGGATTCCTTGAAGACTTCCCTGCTGCAGTTACAATGTCATTTTACATGGACTCTGCTGAAGCAGGATGTAGATCTTCATGACCTAGAGGAAACAATAGCCAACCAGATCAAATTTTTCACAGAATCTAACATAACAAATTATAATCTACTATCCTATATATGTCACCTAAAGAATTCAAATGAGGAAGCTCTGAGAAATCTCCAAAAAGCTGAAGAAATTGTTCAAAAACGTCATCCAGATGAAATTGCCAGGAGAAGTCTTGTTACCTGGGGGAACTATGCCTGGATCTATTACCACATGGAGAGATATGAAGAAGCTCAAACTTATGTAAGCAAAGTGGAAAACAGCTGCAAAAAGCTTTCAATTACTGCTGATGGGAAGATGCAGCTTCCAGAGGTCTATGCTGAGCAAGGATGGGCATTATTACGTTTTGGGGGGAAACACTATGAGAGAGCAAAGAATTGCTTTGAAAATGCTCTAAAGGATGAACCCAATAACCCTGATTTTAATGCTGGCTATGCAACAGCACTGTATCGTTGGGAAAATTTAGCTTCCAGATGTGGTGAAGACACAAGCCCATCCACTGAGGCCTTGAAGCGGGCAGTGGAACTGAATCCAGAGGATACTTGTGTTATGGCATTACTTGCATTAAAACTTCAGGACTTAAATCGAGTTGATGAGGGTGAGAGGTACATTGAAGAAGCTATGCAAAAAACCCCTGATCTTCCTTATTTCCTGCGATATGCTGCTAAATTTTACAGAAGGAAAGGAGAAGTGTGCAGGGCAGCGAAGATTTTGGAAAAGGCCCTAGAACTGACACCAAATTCTGGCTTTTTGCATCACCAACTAGGAATCTGCTACAGAGAAAAAGTATTTCAATTGAAAAAAACAAGAAATGCACCTGAAGATCAAGTGGACAGACTCATCGAACTTGCCATTTCTCATTTTAAATTTGTGGCAGACCAAAAGACAAAATTTGTTGCTGCCCAAACTGGCCTAGCAAACGTGTATGCACTAGGCAAGAGATATGAAGAAGCAGAAAAGATATATCAGGAATTGTTTCAGAGAAATAATCTACTCTGTTATGAAAAACAAGAGCTCTACTACCAGTATGGCAATTTTCAGCGTTTTCACATGAAGTCAATATCAAAAGCCATTGAGTATTATATAAAAGGGCTGAAAATTAAAGAAGAGTCCTTTGGAAGAAATAAGTGCAATGAATCTGTGCAGAGATTGTTAAGAGAAAGATTTGAGAGAGGTTCAAGAAATGCAAAAGATTTTGGTACACTTGGACTCGTTCATAAGCTAAATGATCAGAAACAAAAAGCAATTGAGTGCTATGAAAAAGCCATTGCTTTGGATCACAGTAATGAAGAATATCAGAATGCATTATTTGAGCTACGACTTTCTATCTCAAGCTAAAGCTCACAAAAATCCTTCACACCCAAAAAACTCCAAACCCAAGGACATTTCAAGAGACTCTCCAAACTTTTTTTGTTCTTTGGTTGGTTGTTTTTTGTCTTAAGGTAGACTTTATGACCAGATGAAACATGGGTGGTATCGCTTTCCAATGATAATGTAGAAACTGCAGACGATGACTGTTCATTGGTTCATTTGCTAACAGAGAGCATGCTTAGATAACTATATAATGTAACGTATAATATATAATAATAGCTATACAATAATAGCTCATCTACCTTAAGTCTTCAATGCTAATGCGGGTCTAAATGATTATCAGTAGAACACAGAACTTCTAAGCTAAAAATGAGATATTACCTTCTACTGAGAAAAAGATAAGGGAATCATAAGGTAGTACTTTTGTCTAGATATTTGAAAGGCATGCTTAAACCGAAATGGAATTTCTGATGCTTTTTCAAGTATTTCAAAAATACCTTTTGTAGAAGGAACTTTTGTTGAAGGCTTGTTCAGTTTACTAACTTGTCTGCTGTTTAATTATGAAAAATATTAAAAAACCATTTTTTAGCTAGTTCACTGTAAAGCTTACAAAATGTGTATTATTGTTGTGAACTACTAAAGGGTATTAAATCCATCAACTATTGCTTCTGGTATCTCTCTGCTGACCAGTCTTCGTGTTAGTAGATTAGGTAAAAGGAAAATGGCCATTTGAAAAACTAACAGGGATAGAGTTTTGGCAGGATATGAAAGACTCAGTAGATAACCCCATTTATTTTCCCCGGAGTCTCAGCAAAACTGGCTTCAGAGGCGTTGCACCAGAGAATCAAACTGTGCGCAAAACAGCACCTGTCTCGTTTACCCAAAACCACACTATCAGGAGCCACTACAGCAAACATCTGGAGAGGGAGAAAAGGCAGTCCCTGAGCTGCCAAAGAGATGGCTATCTGTGGCCATGGTTGTGAAACAAGCCAGGGATAGCAAACACACACAAGAAATGAACTAAAGTGGGCACGGAGGGCAGAGCACAGCTGGAGACAAGAGTTGCATGAGCACCAGAGAGCAGGGCAGCAGAATGCAAGGGGCGTGTGGAAAGTGGGGTGGGTGCCCCCAGAGTCTAGTGAATGGGATAAAGGGCTGAAATGACAGAATGGGTGGACAAGGTGATCATCTTCAGATATTTAACTAAAAGTCAATATTCTTTACAACAGCCCAGCCTAATTCCACAGTAGTGTGCCTTTGTATGATAGACCATGGTGCTCAGGGAAAACTAATGCTGTAATTCCAAATCACTTCTGAGCCCTAGCCAGTAGTGTAGCATGAAGCAAACCGGTGACAGAGCCCATGTCAGGAAGAATGTGCACTTTAGTTCCCAGCCATCCTGCAATAGTCCTGCCCCGACAACAGCACCCCCGTATGGACAGAATGAAAGCCTGAAGGAGTGCAAAGCACAGTGCTAGATCAGAAAACATGAATAAACCTCTTCCTTCTCAGCTCTCCCTCAGAGACTCTTTCATAATATGAGCAGAAGGGATCAGGAGCTTAACAGTGTACATAACACAACCACACCTTCTGCATAAGAAAGGGCTGGGGAAAAATCCATCCTTGTTTCCCAGCCACCTGCCAGCTTCTCTCTTACAAAGGCAGCCCCACCTCGGAAAGGAACAGTGAGGAGAGAGAAGAGGAAAGACTGGGAGCAGGACTGACAGAGCACTCCTGGAAGCTGGTAGGAAGAACAGCGGGGTTGAAGTCAGGAACTAGTGACTACCTATGGTGATGTGCTCAGCTGTGTGGGCAAAAGGGTATGTTAGGTCATCTCACCGCCTTTCTCAATCTTGAGCGTTTCTAAGCTCAGCATCATTGCTATCCAAACCCTACTGAGGACACAGAGGGTGGAGGAGAGCAGAGAAGGATTTGAGAAAGAGTTGGAGGCACATCTATTCTCCCCTCCACATGCTGCCACCAGGACCTCTCCTGGAAAAAGAACCTTGCAAAGAAAAAAGGATAAGCTATAAATTATTTTGAAAAAAAATATGTGAGCTGAATTTTTATGAAGAGTCAGAGTGGTTCAATCTTCTGCACAGCAAATTAACTGACTGCGGGACATAGTGATGCACAAAGCGTATTTGTTGTGCCTCACTTCCTTCAGATTCTGAAGGACTGAGCTGGACCGCCGTAGTACCTGGGGATGCTCTGTACAAACAGCCTTCTGTGTGTCTTGTAAATGAGGAGAAATGTTATCTCCCACAGGGTGGTGCTGCTGCACTGCCTGGCATGGCAACACGGGAAAGAGGCTGAGCTTGAGCTTTGGGAGGTGGACAAAATGAAAGACAGTCTGGAGCATCCAAGTCCATTGGGCAAAACCAGAATCATACAGAAGCTGAACCCCTCTCAATTCGCACCCAAGCATGAATTATATCGCTGCAGCCTATGCTAGTGGTGCAGGGAAAAATGACTAAAGATAACCCTTCAGGAAGTGTTAATTTACAAATCAAAAGCACCTTCCAAATTACATAAAAATTCTACTGAAATATACCAGAATAGTCACTTAGAAGAAGGCATTGTTTATTGAGGCAATCCCAACCAGGACTTTGCTATGCTGACCATGAAGTACTGTTACAACTTTTATTAAACAAGCTCTTTCTTCTCACATAAATTTGTAACACTTTAGAAAGCAAACAAGGAATTATTGTGGCAATATAAAATATATTCCCCATATGGTAGCACAAACAGCCTTTGTTTTTCAGAAGATAAATTATTATCCAAGCTGAAAGGAATGCTTTAAAAATGTTTCTTCTGAAAAAAAGGGCAATTCTTCAGCGGAAGGTACTTTTGCAATGTTGTTTTCACACAATTTTTCAATGTACAATTTATTAAATGCCCCAGATTATCACTTGAATATAATTTCATAAATAATTTCATAAGTTCTAGAACATAAATAATTTCAAAAGAATTATTACTACCCCAATTCAAACTGCATGGAATGGAAACAGATGGGATAACTTCAGCAGCTGTAAGCAGTACTTACACTGAATTTGCATCCACTGCACAGAACAGAGCATTATTCCAGGCTGGATTCATCTGAGGTAGAATCTTTCTGTTCCTGTCTCGGACAGATCTTACCCCAGTCAAGTCAAACCACGCTATCCTGGGAAGCCAGACAGGCTCAGCAGTGCAGTGCTCCATCCAAGCTCATATCCATCGATACTTGTATCCATCAGGGCTGGCAGGAACATAGAATTACATGATCATTAAGGTTGGAAAAGACCACTAAGATCATTGAACATGCAGTGTAAGCCTGGCAAATCGCTCTCACAGCTAGCCCAGCTATCTCAGTTTACTGCTGCACTGTGCCATGCCAGGAAATATCCTCCTTGAAGGACAGCCTGAATATTATCATGTCTGAAAAAAACATTACAGATACAATAAATCATTCTTTAAAAATATTGCAAGCCAGAGACTTCTACAATGCGTTGCCTGAAATATATCACATGGCAGGATAAAGATGAACTGTTCAGCTTGGGTTGTGTGGATTAGGAGGTAGAAGTCTGGTGTAAGGTTTCACCAGCCTCAATTGTATTCCCATTTCTTCTGCTTGCAGGTTGTTACGCTTCCTTCTGTTTCTTAGTGGGGACATTCATGACAGGGCTGGTATTTCACAGTGTGTTTTATGCACAGAAAGCATCATTTTGGTATATAAGCTTTTCTCCATTGACTTCAGTCAGAGCAGAAACAGTGTTAGAAAACCTTGAAAGAAGTCTACCATTTTCTCCAAAAGGTCTGTGTATAAAACCAGTGGAATGTTTGTTGCTAAATAAGATGTTTAAAACAAGTACTACTACTTTAAACACATATAGGGAAAAGCCTATGAAAAAAATATCTTGAAATGAAAAAAATTAAAAATGCTACTAATGTATTACACAGTATAGTTTACTATGATAAAAATGCATACCACATTATTCCAATAGGCTTTCACAATATGCAGCTCTGACATGAACAACTAGTGACGTGTTCTGATGTGTTAAACAAAGTAATTAAATTTTTGTAAAGTAAATAACAGTGGTTATAACTTGTTTAAAATTACTTATATTCTTTGTAGACCATACTATGCCCCACTTCTTTACTATTAAAATACTGCATGAAGATCTAAAACATTATCTTCATCAGTATTAATTAATAAAACCACTTCATTTTTTCCAGATTTGCATACTTTTCCTAACTCACTAAGAAACACTCTTGGATGATTTTTGTCTTTTTTTAATGAATATATGTTAAAAACAATATTAGGGACCAGCACTCAAATTTCACGCAGAGCTGAAGAAACGTTATGTCAGTACCTTTAAGCAGTTTTTGCACTCCCATCTCTTATTCTGTGGTCTGTGCACATATATCATCCTACTGGCTCTGACTACACTTCTGAAGCAGGGCAGCGAGAAATGCTTTATTTAATCACAGACAACTGAAGTCAAACAATTTTAATATTTTATATTTGAAATATGCTTGAATAATAAAACTACTTGATACACATGCTATTCATATATATATATTAAAAAATACATTATACCCCTATGGCTGTACTCTTGATCTAAATCAATGTTGTGAACATCAATCTATGTTGCTTTCCCTTCCGAGGCACAGGGTGGAAAAGGACACCATGAGCAGCCACCGAATACACTGCAGATGATTAACAAAACTGCTAGGTCAGTGTTAATGAAAATTATTTGGACTCTGATCAATTTGTTAATGAACAGAACACAGCTTTATACAGCATCAAAATACTGAAATTATTTGTATTGCGGAATGTGAAGTTCCTCCACTGTTGACAACATTTTCATTCTGGAAATGTAGAAACATCCCATTATTTATCAGATCAGTAATTTAACCCATGATCTGCATTCAGTCCCTAGCTCCTGTGAAGCAGCCAGCTGTAGTGAATTCCTCACACAAGTAGCAGGAAGCCACCACCCAGTCGCAGCTGTTGTGTTCTGGCCGTCAAGGACAAGTGACCTGACATGTCTTCAGATGGCACAAACGACTAAATTGCATCACCTGAAGATACAGCTCCTGGGGCCGAAACGAGACAGACTTGCCACTGCAATACACAGCACAATCCTCTTTACTCATAGCCTAGAGAGGGAGCAGTCTCTCAATCATCTGGTTGCACGGACTCTAAAGTTTCCAACAGCTGCTGATTTTACAAGAGGAAGAGCCTCTGTATTTGAAAACACATGAGCCTCTCCTCTGGTCTCCTGGGCTGCCTTTAGGATTCTTTCAACTAATGCAGCTAAAGCAGGTTTGTCTATCAGCATGCCTAGTCCTCCGGCACAGATTTACTCCTTTTCAGATAGCAGAGCTGCCACAGTACCTCTTCCACCCTCCAAGACAAGGATCAGCTGGAAAATCATATCTGGGATTTCAATTTTTGAAAATTCAAGCTTTAAAGACATCTAGGAGGAAAAAAAATATAATTTTTTTTTGCTGTAGAGGGCTTGGGAAAGTAGGTCTAAAACCATATTTGAAATTAAATTGGAATGTATGTACAAAGTTCAGGCACATTGTAAAAATTAAAGCTGCTCCAGAGATACTTTCAGCATAAATCACACGTGGAGGTTTTTTGGTGGTGTGTGTTATTAGTCCATTGAAACATACTAGACCACAACATCAAAAAGCTTGGGTCATTAATAATATTTTTTAAATAATGTAAATGTTATTGTTCAGTTTTGGTGACTGATTACTTTATCATTTATTGTTGAGTACAGCCAATTCTTGATTACCTGTGGAGTGGACATTGCATTTCAAATAAATCTGCGAACATTTGTATCTACAAACTCTATTTTCATTCTAGCTTTCTTCTATTACTGCATTAACTTGGTATTACTGTTGCTGTATGTAGATTTTAGTCAACTAAAGCAACTAAAGCATGACAGAAAAATCTAATTGAAAGATGCCTTGGTTCACAGGAGTAGTATCTTCAACAGCGTAACACTACGGAGCCACCTCTGTCTCAGTCACGGCTGTGTCGTACTGAATCTTGATGGCACTTGTCACCTCTTGCTGCAGCTGTTTGTGTCCACAGCCAAAAATTCAACATCCTTTTGGTCTAATTCTGCTGTGACAGAATAAGCTATTGCTCCATTTGTCCACATGTGCTGTTTCATGCCTCTATCACTACTGAGCGACCGCAAATGTGTTCTTTTGATTTTCTTTGCTAGTCTTGCAAAGCACAATAGTGTTGAACTAAATATCATAGAAAATCCACACAGGAGGAATGATGCAGTATAGCTGCCAGTTGTGTCCACCAGCCAACCTGTAGGGAAAAAAATAATGGGTTTTTAAAGATCCATTAGTATTCTGATAATTTCCAAATCCTGTTATCAATGGGAGTTTTATAAACTTATCAACTTGTAAACTTACAAGTTACCACATATAAATACAATCAAACAATACAGGTTTACATCACTATCACTGTATTTTTTCCTCCTAGGGCAGGGAGGGATTTGTCCTCAGCAGGCAGATAAGATTTTTATGGGCTCTTGTTTGGAGCCTCAAATCTCAAATCCATGAGAAAGGGCACAACAGTCATCACCACAATACTAAATAAACTGCATGGATTTAACTGGCACTCTTTAGACAGGCTTACAGAATCCTGGGATTAAATAGTGTGTACATCAGATCCTCATAAAGAAACAATCAGAGAGCTATTCCTTGGGCTCATGCTATTTTGCAATAATTTTTACTATGGAAAATAAAAAGCTTCAGAAGCAGTGATTAATTGGGAATTGATGTGAACAGCAGACAAAATACGCAAGACATATATATATACTTGGCTGTTTGAAAAAGATCTCTGACCTTCCACAATATTAAAACTGTGTCAAGTTCTTTCTAAAGACTAATAGGAGTACAGCTCTCATCTTTACTTCATTGTAATGGAATCTATGGGAAAAATGATGATTAGATATTACAGTGATGAGCTGGCGACCAAACAGGAGTGGAGCTGACTCACCCACCTGTTCAAAGTAGTTTGGAGGTTAAAAGATAAGTCCTCCACACCAAAAAAAAAATAAAAAATCTTGGAATTAAACTCCCTTTAGGTTACATTTTCAAAATCTGGTAATTTTACAGTGTAATATTTTGCTCCTTTTACTTGCACAATTTCTAAACTATGTGAAGTGGTGACGTTAAGAGCTCTTAGAAGCTCATTCCATACTGGTTTTGTTTTTAAATTTCATCTCACTCTGTATGTAGAAATTATCCCATCAAGACAGGGATGGGAGATCTAAAGACTTACGAAGATCTAGGTGTGTGTTATTTCTCTACTCAGAGGCTACCTCCACATTTAGTGTGCATTTGCTGTCCTTCCTCTCCTGTTACATCACACTAAGAGGCAAATCTGAAGTACTGATAAGATTATAGGAAAGTCATTTGGGAACTTACCTGCCACAGGCGGGCTCACCAGATACGGTATGGCATGCAGGAAATACACAACGCCCAGTGCTGATGATAACGAGGAAGTTCCCACTACATCTGCTGTCATGACAGGGATCAGCGTTACATAGGCTCCATCAAAGTAGCCAAAGGTAAATGAGAAAGGCACAAGCAAGGGGAAGTTTTGGAGAACTGGCAGGAAAAGACAACAAAGGCCATCCATTCCCACAGCAAAGAGGTAGCAAAAGTACCGATGCTTCTTCAGACACCTGCAAATTTCAAAACAGAAAAGAAAAATATCACTGAACAAAGCATCTCAGTTTCTATGCCCTGGCATGCAGTGCTTCAGTCTCTCTCTTATATAGCTCAAATTTAAGTCCATTGTATTACAGTCTTCAAGATTAAAAACTCAGTGCTGATGAGCCCACATAGGGAAAGCTGCCCACCTACAGCTGCAGAAACATCTGGTGAGCAGCAGTCCATGCTGTCTGCAGTATTCTTCAGAATGCTCCTACCGAGGGAAGCCACCCTGCTGCCAGGATTTTGCAGTCCTCTGAAGTCTCAATGTTTGAAGCAGTATTTCATTGGGCTTTGCATCCCAGCTCAGCAAGATGTTCCAGTATTATACATAAAATACTGCAGCATACCTCTCTTAGCTGTCACTCTTCCAATCAGCCCTTAAACATGAATTAGCGTGAGCTAAGCAAGATGGCAATTCCCTTCCTCCCTGTTCCACAAAGCCAATAATTGATTTTTCCCACTAACTGAATAAGCACAAAGAATGCATCCTTTAGAATCAAAATCCCTGCTAATTTAGCCAGAATCTACTGATTTACAGTTGCTGTACACTGATGTCTGAAGTGAGCTGAGTTCACAAAGCATGGCGAGTTCTTACATACTGGAAAATGTACAACAATTTTCAGTCAGTCCTTCCGAGTATGTGCCTGACAGTGTTGGGCCAGATTCTTGACCCTCTTCCATAACTTCTGTGCCTCCCAGCAGCACAAAAGAGATGGAAAGTCAAAGGAAGCAGAGTGAAATCCTCTAGGAAATAGATACAAAAGATCACTCTCAACATACCTGAGGCAGGGGGTTGCATTTCCACTGTCAAATGCACAAACATAATTTCTTCAGGAAAAAAGATCTTAAACCAGCAGAATTGAACAAACTCAGAAGAGATGAAAACATTAAATAGTAAGCATTTCTGAAAGTTAAGACTGTATGTTGTTTTTTTTAAGTTGCACATGCTACCTCACTTGCATCCAGCCTCCCACCAGCTAAAGCTTACACTTGCTTAGTTATAAACCCTTACCTTCTGTCTGTTAGCCATCCAAAGGTGATATTACCAATGATGTCTATGACACCAAGTATGGACATGAGGAAGGCAGCCTGGTGATGACTCACTCCAACACTCAAAGCATAAGGCACTAGGTAGACAAAAAGAGGGCTACATCCATATGCCATAAATAAAACTGACACTGCCAGCACCATGAAGCCTGGCATCAGTAAAAAGTCATATTCCTTCCACGAACAGTAGCATAAACAGTCACGAGACCACACTTTGATTAAAGGTGAACAGATGGACATTTGCTTTAAGTCTTGTTTCTCTGTTTCAGGGACACGATCCTGTTCAAGAAACTCAGGAACAGTTTTACAATCCTCCTTAAGAGAAATGGGCCGCATCAAGGCACCACAGACACAGAGGTTTAAAACAAAACCTCCCAGGATGAGTAAAGCTCCTCGCCAGGAAAACTGCTCAATTAAGAGCTGGACTACGGGGGCCAGGATGAAGGTACCAATTCCACTTCCTGACATGGCTATTCCATACGCCAATGCTTTTCTTTTGTTGAAGTATTTGCCCACCATCGCAATGGCTGGAGAATAACAAAGTGCAAACCCAAGTCCTAGAAGAGAAAGCACAGTACGGATGGCTTAATACTAAGCATGACATATGGAACATATTAAATTAAACCACCTAATGTATTTTCATTAGCACAAATGAATAGAAAGTTTTTCTGATTCTGTATCATGCAGCCCAGTCAAGAGTGTGATGAGAAACTAGGATGACTTCTTTCTTCCAGTGGCAGAGTCACTGTCTTGACAAACCTAACTGATGAGCACTAATCTACGATAATAAGGTTCAGAAATAACTGATACGGTTCACTTAATAACAAGGATGATCACTAAACATCAGAGAAATTTTGTGTCAGCCTCTCTTGCATGCAAGATGAGGTCTCGCCCCAGGGTCTGCACCAATGCTGGCACTGGACACACTGTCCTGATGAGGCACCACTTTGTGTTTTGGTCTGTTGCAACCCTGAACATTAATTTTCAGGTCTCTGAAACATAGTACAAAGAGTCTGTCTCTGTTATTAATATTCTACAAAAAACTCTTCTTGGTCAGCTAAACAAACTCCGTGGAACAGCTGCTTGGAGTCTTGACCATTCTAAATCCCTGCCTACAAGTAAAGAGGAGAGAAAAGCCTCAGAAAACAAAGCCAGATCCAGTTGAGTAAACAAATAAGATTCATCTCTTGGGCTGAGAAAAAGATTGTGGTCTCTGTTGCAGAACCAGAGAGCAGATTTTAATCATCATGTGGTTGCTCTAACACTAAAACTGAATTTTCCCAATCAGTCATAGAAATGAGTTCCTGACTAGGGTTTTGGAGCATGTCCTACATTGAGGGTAAAACAGACCCGACTGCCAAAAGCGGAGATAATCACTCTGTGCTGTAACCAGCTTGCCACGTCCTCCTCAAAGGCCACACTGTGTAGGACAGGCACTAAACCTGCCAGGATGGAATAAGTGGATTAGAGGGACTCCAGGCAACGGGTGCCTGGTCTGGCACCCCTCAGGAGGCGAGGCAAGAAGCAGGGCTCAGAGCTGTGGCTGGACCTGTACAGGCACCAGAGCCAGAGGAGCAGCCCTGAGCCAGACATCATCACTTGAGAGTTGTGAAAATTATACTCTATTTGACATACATGCCATTAATTTTTTTACTGAGTTGGCAGGGGGAAACATCCCAAAAAAAGCCAATCAATGTCCTGTGAAAAGTGCAAATGCAAAGTTTAGGGCTGAAAACATTTTCATACCTATTAGAAGGAACTGTTACTTATTGACACTCCCTTGTCTCACCTCTGCTTCACTCTTCACAGTTTTCAACTGCTGCAACTTTTATGGATTTAGACATTCACCTGTTATGGTCCCACCTCCTCTGTGGGTTGGGGGGCATCACCTCTAGCCTTTACCAACAGTTCATGTCTCTGTCAATCAGTCCCCATATACTAGAATTTCACTGCTTTTCGAATTGGCTCTCTACAACTTCATGTCCAAAGTGCAACTGCTTTTCTCAGTATTCACAGCAGATCCCAGTAACGAAGCCTCAGAGGCGTTAGCATGGTATGTGGCACAGTCCCTCAAGTTACAAGAAGCCTTTTTATTTGTTATGAACACATTTGTCAAAGATTAACATTGTAATACAGGAGTGACATGCACTACAATAAGGATTTTTTTTTTAAACAAATAAGCTGTTGGCAGCATGTGAACTGCAGTAATTCCACCAACTCATTACTAAACAGCAGGGGACCAAGTACAAGGTCTTATATCACCGTGGCTACCAGGTCAGTATTAATGAGGAAGGAATGTCAGTGTGACCACGGGCCCCTCTCAAGTTCCTCTGTGCACAACAAACACGGGCAGACAGGAAAGAGCAAAGATATTTATTATCACCATATCTGAACACAAATGGAAGAGCTGCTACAACAACTCTACCAATCAGGATTTTTTTTGTTTTTCAAATGGAATATAATGCAGACAAAAATCAGGTGCATAGCTGAGCCAGGTATTCACCCAGTGCTCCTCTGCCTCTTACTTACTCCTATGTTTTGATTTAAACTTTTTTTTCCTAAATATGTAAATATTTTGGGGCAGTCTAGAACTCCTAGTTTAACAAACTCCTCTCAAATCACAGGCAAACAAAGGAAACCTTTTATATATATCACCTGCAACAGCAGTCCTTCTTGACCTCTCATAATTTCAGAACTTTATCCATAGTCCTCTCTCTAACAGAAGTTAGAGTTGCTTTTGCAGGGTGCTGCATTTGGGTTACATGAGACTCAGTGTGTGCTGAAGCTCTCACAGCAGCAGCCAAAGCCTCTCTTTTACAATGAAGGGAACAGGTCTGAGTATCTCTATTAGACCAGTGGGGTGTCAATATGACGTGAAGAGATTACCCATCATGTGTTGTGTTCCTGGCAGCAACAAAGGGGCTGAATGCATCCTACCTGTAAGGACTCCTAATGATAAGTAGAGATGTTCCAGACTGGTGGCGAATGAACTCAAAATTAGTCCAGAAGATGCAAGCATCCCTCCTAGCATGATACCAACTTGGCAGGATACATGATTACTGATTAAACTCCCAAGCGGGGCTTCAAAGAAACAAACAAAGCTGGTAGTTAATGGCAGGTCCTCACACACAGTTCATTGCAACAGTCATAAAGGAAAAGCACGCAGGAGGCAAGCAGGAGAAAATGGTGATAGCAGCTACACAGAGTGATCTTCCAACATTCCCCCTATTGCAATAGTACGAGCACCAAAAACAACTGAAAAAAACCTTCTAAAAACAATTTTTCTGAAAGTCACAATAAAACCGAAATTTACAGTAGCTTTCTCAGAAGCCATTTTCATAGATCAAAGTCATTACAGGATACAATCAGAAGTGCTGGGGTCAAGAGAGGCCACAGCGACAGCCCATAGTGTTCATTACTCCACACTTACAACACTCCAACCTTCTCCCACCTGGAATTTGCACTTCAGCTCTCAGTAACTTCAAGTGTTTCCCGGATATAACCTGGCTGACACAGGTCAGTTGCTATGTCTCATTGCAGCTGGGTCCCCCTGCCTTTCTAGCAATTCTCATGGATTAACCCTCTTCCACAGGACATGGATTTTCACCTAGCTGTATAGCTTGAAAGCAAACCCACGAGAAATTTGGTACTACTGCTGCATTTTTACTGACACCGAACCTTCTTTTAGGGGAGAAGAGTAGTTGTAAATACACATGTATGGTAAAAGGAAGACAACTGTGACTCGATCTGGAGGCAAGATGTACATCCAGTGCTAAGTCTCAAATATGACTCCAACCAAAAAGCAAAAGAAACACATGTTCAGTTAGTAGCTCTCAAACACGACATGACCCACAAGACCTCGACAAAAGTATATTTCTGAAAACTTAGATCATTGCATAAGAAAAAGTTCTGCTTCTTTTCTTCAGTATGAAGACACTCCCTTCCTGTACATCTATGCTGATGGAAGCAGCTTGGATATACCATACCCCAGAGAGCCCACAGTATCACTCCCAGCTGACTCCACCAACTTGTGAACATGCTAAAACCAGATGGAACTGATGAAAAAGCAGCCACATTAGGCTTAAAAGGGTAATACACACCACAGAGCATTGTAGCACAGTCGACAATGGAGTGGATCCAAGCAGTTCTGGCATAATCCTGCCCAAAGTATGCCTGGAACTCCACAAAAAATATGGAGATGCACCTAGGACAAAAAATATGAACACAAATTTGTTGAACATGGAACATTTGCTCACAGAAAACATGGGTCTCACTCTTCAGGTATAAAAAGTACCCAGTTGAAGGTCCTCTCCAGCTCCCAGAAAAATCAAATCCGTGGTTTGCTGATATGCCAACAAGATGGAAAAATGTTTAAACAGTTTCTAAGGGATATTGGCAGAGAAGATCTACCTTTAATGCATGAGGGACAAGACACTGAATATGAGAACAATCCTTGTTTTGCATTGGCAACAACTGAATCAAAAACTGGTGTCCAACTATTATCTCAACAGTGGGATTAGACGATTAGGCTGATGTAGAGCCTAATTCAGACATAATCTCCAGAGAGATTACAAATGTTATAATACCACATGTTTCTTGCTGAGGTGCCTGCCTCTACAGTTTTTATACCTCACAGTGTTTTAAACTTAAATGAACTTGTAATTATCATCAGCAATTTATAGCTCATATTGTGATGTTGCTTCCCTGGAATATAAAGCCCTAGTTTTCCAAATCTTCACTGACCTGGTCGCTCGCTACTCCACACCTGTACAAACTGGCTAATGTAGCACCTATAGAACAAACACTACCTACGTGTTCATGGATGGACAAGTGCAAAGCAAATCCTGACAGAGAATCAAAACACCATAGGAGCCCGTGGACCTTCCAGCATTTTAATAAAATGCTTCTTGGAGATGTTACTTTGCTCTGCTTAGCAAGTGTTACTGTTCTACCTGTCTCTGCAGGGGAGCAGATTAAAAGGCTGCATAGTTTCATCCTCATTCCTGGATCAACAAGAGATGCCTTTACACTCTCTCTTTTTCCTACCAGCAAATCAATGAATGACCACTTTCTTCAGCCTTTTTTCTTGCACATACTTCATTCTTCTATATAATCTATTGTGTGTCAGCCATTAGATCATTTCTTGGATGTAACACATTCCACACATTAAAAAATAATTAAATCCACAAGGAATTATTCTCTACTGCTATTATGGAATTGGTACATTTGCATACATTAACTAACACTAATCAGTGTTTCTATGCCTCTTTTATGATGCTGAGTCCAAAACCCTAGGCTTTAGATCCCTAAATCTGGCAGCTTTATTCTAAAAGAAATATGAACTTTGGGTAGGAAACACTATATTTACGTTATACTGACTGTCCAACAAGACACTGATTCAGTGTTCCTCACTTACCAGGGTGCTTATCTCTCTGCCTAATATAGCTTAAATGTCCATGTTCACACACACCAGGCTCCTCTGTCTCCAGTCGGCATCAAAGTCACTGTGGAAGCAATCTCATCCCAGATTGCATTATGTTCATGCAAGGCAGAAATCTATTCCTGTTCTTTCTATTTTTGAGAAATATTTTCTGCATATTTTGGATACCAGAAGGGTATAAAGAGGGGCCTCTTCTCTAGGGCTCAGACCTTCTTGGGCAGAACAGCACCTGAAATGCTTGCAGTAGGAGAAGGAGGTATTTACATGTTTTTCAGGGAGACTCAGGAAGCTAATTCACTGGGACTAGCAAAAATGAGCATGGCTGTGGAGTCAGAGGGACACAGTGAACCTGAAGAGACCCTACATGATTCCTCCCTCCCCAATCAAACCACTAGAGCCTGAAATAGCACTACCTGCTCCAGGCCTTGATTCTGTAAGAAATCAAGGAGAGGGTGCTGAAAGCTAGAGCAGCTGTCAGAGGAGGCAAGACTAAAACCAGAGGGCTCATAATCCCTCAGCAATCCCCACAGTTTTAAGGGTTTCAGGAAGCCTTTAAAAATGTAACAAGAGTTTGTACCTAACCAGAATAACCCCGGCAGCTGTGGGACATCAGGGGAGATCTCAAGCCCTCTTCCTAAGGTAAAAAAACAAAAAAAAAAAGGAAAAAGATAATACCACAAACAGGTCAGCAAGACAAGCAGCAGTTGCCTTTACCTTGTCACGGCCCTGGTACAGATAGTGACAAGGAAGCAGCCAGCAACGATCATCCATCCCCAGCCTCCGTCAGGAGGGCCAATGTGCCGGGCCCGCTGGGGTGAGGCCATGGTGATTCCTCCCTCCTCCTGGCCTCAGTGGCAGGGGCTGACTCCAGCCAGCATGCCAGGCACGGGCCGGGGCTGCTCGGCACATGGGTCACTGGCCATCTGAGAAGAGAGAGAGAAAACAGGCAGAGAGGGAGTCAGGGCACGTTGCACATGCTGTAACCTGCACGGCTGAGCAGGACATACTGCTTCGGCTCTAATGCACAGAAGTGGGAGTTTTTTTTCAAATGCAGTTTATGAAAATTTGTTGGAAACAAGAGGGCCATCAGAATTTGGCCCCGTGTCTGGTATCATGCTTTTCATGATAATTTGCCCAGCAGTTACATCCCAGCACACGATACCCTCTTCCCCCCTACATGTCACAGCACATAATATGTTAAGTCACACATTTTACCACTGCCAGTCATCCATCTACCTTCAGCAGGCTCCCCCTGCTCATGCCAGTCCCTGGCCTGAACTGTATTTTCAATTGCAGTCTCCACTCAAACTATCTATTCTTCCTTGTAGGAAATTTAGTGCAAAATTTTTGTTTGAGAGAATACAGTTTTCACCTTTTTTTACTAAAAGGAAATATTCACTGCAAAATCAGAGCACATCTAATGATAAAATGACCTCCTTGTTTCACAAGCTAAACCCCTGATGAAGCCTGTAATCAGCAGGACACAGCAACTTCATTTTCTGAGCATGGACAATTCACCAAAGGTTAGAGCTAGCCTGTGCCTCTCTGCTATCCACTTAAATCAAAGTAGTGTCTGCATCCAGGCCATAAAGTAGTCTCTAAGTGCACACTGGGTGCTGCAGGACACTGCAGGAGACCAAATGACACCCACAGGATCCTAGGTGAGTAACTGAGTCATGTGCATTGGGGTAGCTTTGCTAACACTTTGGATGTCACCAGCAGCACAGGACCAATAGCCCTTAGTCCTTCTGCATCAGTGACTGTATGGCAGGGCTTGATGGAGGGGCCTGACACACCCCAATTTACTCAGTGCAGGAACATGCAGTGCTGGCTGTCAGTGGTTGATTTCAGACCACATTTTTGCCATCATCAACAAGCCCTTAGCCCCTGGGTGGATCAAAGATTTATAAGACATAAGTAAACTATCTGGGATGTCTTTCAGTTTTGCTTGTAGAGAAAGCTCAAATAGCTTCTACATCACCTAACTATGACAGATACTAAATATGCAACATTCCTACTGACAAGAACCACAGGCTTCACAGGAAATGTGTCCTGTTACAGCATGTTAGAGGTCTGCAGAGCCACTCAAAAGGGCAATTCAAGAAAGCATCTATATGGCTAATAATGCACATTCTTGGTCCTTGAAGCTGCTCACACAGGTGATTGCTAAGGCTTGACTTTGGAAAGCCCAGAGATCCCTGACCCAAAACAGCAAGGCACCTCTGAGCCAACCCTAAATATCACCACAACTGAACCTTGAGAAATATTCATCAGTGGCCTTCTTGAGATATCAGAAACTGCACCTCAAAACCATCACAAAATTATTTTAAGAAAACATACACAGATTGCCAAATTCAAAGATGAGCAAAGTAGAAGAAAACAGATATGACAAAATAAACAAAACCCACAATATGTTGAAAGTTTATCTGAATTCCTACTAGGCTGTAAATAATACCCTGTAACAACACTGTACAAGAGAATCAGTGAACTCCTTTTTTAAAAAAAAACAAACTTAGGTAGTGTTTTGATTCCAAATGAATAAGAAATTTCATCCTAATCAACCTGCTTGGCTTTCAAAGCCCAAGAATTGCAGCTGATCATACAGGGTATGATCAAGCCCAATGTGTTAATACAACTCAGTCCATAAATGTTAAAAACTGAAAAACCTAGTGCAACTTTCAAAGACAGGAGGTAAGTCCAAAAGTCAGGGGCTGTGCTGTCATATGAGGCATCACAACTGCCACGGGAAGTGAACAGTGAAGAAAACCGTTCACAACCTCTCAACAAAATGTGCGCTTGTCAACGTTTTTGAGTAGTGACTTCAGCTAACCATGTTTGAAACAATATGCTTGAAAAATATCAGTGAATAAAAATATCCACAAAAGATGCCAAAACTGTATTATACTGCCATCCAGTTACACAATCTCAACAAGCTAACATTAAATATCTGTTCCAGGTCTTTGTGTACTCCTCAAGTACCATTTACTTCTCCCTCTGCATTAGCCGGCCTGTCTCACACATTTTACATTATGCCAAAAATGTTGTATGGTATTTGGAAATAAAAATTACTCTCCTATTTTCTCTCTTCATGTAATAGGCTTTGCTAATATTTATTTATAAATAAATATTTCTATGAAGTTTTCTCATAATTCAGAGCCCAAAGAAGTGCCCATTACAAGCACTAGAACATGTACTAATGCTGTTTTAGTATTCTCTTCTCCTCCATTGTCACAAACATCTGTTTTATTTTAAGTTAAACTGTATTATAAAGCCTTTGCAAGGTCTGTGTTATTTTCTGTGTTTATATGGAGTCTAGTACAATAGTGATTTTCACTTCAGCATGAAGTACTATTACAGTATAACCCACACTAATGAAGCAGAAGAGAGCTCAGGTATGACAAAAAGAAAAACTCTAATGACATGCTTTGCTTCTCACTTCCATGGCTCTTTGGGGAGACATACAGTACTCTGCTCTGCCTGACTATGGAAACCATTCCCTCTTTGTATGAAGAATAGGCCACATCTCATATGGGACACGTGAAATAGCTACAGTTTAGATTACATATCAGTGGTCACACTAGCTCAAAAAGATCAAACAAGAATTCATGGCTGGGATTACAAGAGCTTTTGTAAGAAAAAAAATGTGGTATCTCATGGATAAAGGCTCCTAAGTGAGTTTAAAGGGTCCCAGTTGGATGCAGTCTTCAAAAGTTCATTCCTACAGCTGATTAGAAAAATCACACAAAGCAAATTAAACCCAAATGAGTTTATGATTTCAAACCTCATCTTCAAGGTATTCAATTACTAGGGCTCATGTACGTAAAAGATCAATGAAAGCTCTGGAATGGAGACCAGGACAGTTTGCCATTTCTGACACAACCTTCTAACATACAGCAAAAAATGCCAATGCACCTGACAGAGCTTTCTGAGAAGACCCTACAGGTGCCCACATGACCAGCAGGACATCACCACCCTCTTCACAAGCCTTGAACTTTACATTTCAAGCGTCACATTTTTTTACCTTATGTAATTTGCTTCAAGGCAAACATACAGAAGTGACAGTATGTACCTGCACCCTGATTTCCTCTCCATTATACTCTGAAACAAACTTCTGACATAAACACAAACAAATTGAGGAAAAAAGGGACAACAGATTGGCCAGTGCAGTAAAATGAGAAAGCATGTTTGTAGGCAAGTATAGCACTATTCACAAAATCTGAGGGAGGCTGAAAATGTCTGCAGTCAGAATTTAGATGCCAGGCACATGACACAGAAGACACACCTTGTGTATTTGCCCTCCAGCCCACACTGCTAATCTGTAAGCAGACCATATTTCTCATGTGCTGATTCCACCCAGGCGACAGACAATTTTGCAGGGTTTATGTTACATTTCAAGTAAGCTGACATGAACTAATGACTGTTTTTTTATTTTTAACTGATAGAGTCAATTAAACATCCCTTTCCATAGCGCTTCAAGCAACAACTGCCTTATGAAATACGTGCAAACACTGGATCAACAAGTTATCTAATGGCTAAGGCAGTGCTTACATGATTCTTCATGTTGGATCAGTGAATGACCAGATCATCAAGTAGCACAGTTTGATGCAAACCACCACCACACCCCTGTCTACTTAGATGGAAAACAAAATTCAACACTTTTGTGAGTGTCTGTGTCTAACCTAGCCACAAAAAAACCCCGCTGCTATCTAATCTAGCATGAAGCCAGAGTGGCACAAACAGATTATACCCTGATTTGGCAGTGAAGTCTGCCATTAACTTATCCTGCCAAATTCACTTGAACAAGCAGAGCCAGTACCAATGCTTTGCACCATGTGGCTACCGCATTTTGCATCTAATACTGACAGCCTCAAAGGTGGATTTATTGCACTATTGCAAATTTAATACGTTATGTTCAAATACCTGGATGACTGAATAGCCCATAAGAATCCACGACAGCCACCTGAATTAACAGGACACTCATAAAGTTCAAATTATTTAGCTCAAGGGTTTCCTGTCAATCACAAGTAATGTAGTTAGGTGGAGTTTGTATAAGCATGTGATAACCACGGAGGGATCCTGAGCAATTCAGACATACCTCTGCAGCACTTCTGCAGGGTCTTGGCAAGGCTAAGCTTCTTATTTTGGATCTGAGCAGTATCCTTCATTGCCCCTTCTAGAGGAATGAAGGTTTTTTTTCAAGTTCTGATTATTAAGGGTGGAGGAGGAACTTCCAGGAATGCCAGAAGGGATAACAGTAACCATTCAATAAGCAGAAATAGACAAAAAAATTTTCAGAGGAGTCAACAATCTCCACATAAAGAGCCCTAACTACTTTTAATGCACAAACCGCAGTAAATGGGTGCCACAGCCTCAGCCTAGATCTCTGGCCCAACTTCCCAGGCAAGCTTCAGATGGGGATTGAGGCCCTGGTTTGCATTTTAGCTGTACATTAACATGCTTGGGAAGAATTTGATGACATATCAGGCTAGGCAAACATAGATTAGCTATTTGCTTACATGGTTACTTGCTGTTATTTTCCCAGAACCCTGCCTGCCAACATACATACAAACAGCAAACATTTAATGAGGTTACAAGCAACTGAAAACAATGATATTATAAGAAATGCCTGGCCAACACAGAAATCGGCCACTCAGCCTCCCTACAGCAGATCACTGCAAATCGCAACTCCTTGACTTCCCTCTCACTTCAAGGAGTACTGTGCCTTTCACAGCCACTAAACTAATAGGCAAGTTAAATAATTACCTTTCTTCCTGCTGCACACGTCTAAAAGCACTTATTACGTCAACCTGACAATTTCATTCTGAGGTTAGAAAACTCCATTTGCTTACTGTTTTCTAATTATTTTTATCATGGATAGACCAGATTGTGGACTCTGCAAGTGAAGCTAAACAAGCAGAAAGCA